CGGACAATAATAATTCAGTCTGGAAACAAAGGCGCAGCAAGTCCTTCGTCCCCCCCCTCCCGGTACTCAAACAGCTCATCGCTAAGCTAAGTTGCTACGCTATAACAAACCGAAGGATAAACATTGTTTCAAAAAGACTGAAAGGAGCCAGCGATGCGCACACTCACCCACCAACCCTAACCCACTGCCCTAATCTGATCCGTCCCTCAGATTATACCTATGAATGGTCAAACGGGAGAAAAGACTCACCCCCCCGCCCTCGACTCCCCCTTCTTTTTCATAGCATTTGTTGTGTGTGTTTTTTTTCACCCCTGTATATTAAATTTGTCTCCTTTTACAGCCATTGACAGTGTTTGCTATTGGTCTACGCGGCGCCTGCAGCTGCAACGCAACAATAAACTCGGCCCTCGCTAAACTCAGTATTGTGACACTTGCGGAATTACCCATGAGTTTTGATACTTTGCCTTTGTGTGTGTGTTTAATTCCACTAATCCCTATAGAGGAACAGTGAATGGCGCACCTTCCCTATGATATCCAAACATTTGATCACGGAAAATTATTCTTTTGACAAAACGACAACAGATTTAACCCGCTGCCCTGTTATCCTGCCATGGCGTGTATTAACTTTATTGCAAACGGGGAGGTACATTTACATTTCAAATTAAGAGCTCAGCGGCTGAGATGCGCACAAACCCCCGTACCCGAAGCGGGACGCAGGGTCCGAGAAAGAGATCGGGAGACTCGGAGTTTGTTTCACGCCGTACGAAATGTTAATATTTTGAAAAAAAATGTTCACGACTTCTTTGGGTTTGTCAGGCTCTTCTTCTAGCCCCCTAGAGGTCAAGCGGAGCAAAGCCTATTTGACAAATAAACCCCCGTCCCACCCTTCATCTGTTTCTCGTCCTTTCTCCACGGACAACTCTCTTGGCCTCTTTCTTCGCCTTCGCCCCTCTCTTTCTCATCTCCTCTCCTCTCTACTTGTCATTTCTCTACGGATGGCCTTCGCAGCGGGGGCTATAGAGTCCCAACTTGTCTACACTTACCCCCTGCGTTGACTGACCAATAGGGGCAAATGCACAGAGTGTCCCCCCACCCTCCCTTTTAACACTCTGCCTTTCTGCCTGAGCCAGATCATGCTCTCTGTTTTCACGACCTCTGACCCCAGGCCATGGCAACAGTGGCAGGAATGTAAGGATTGATTGGCAGGATAAAGAGCACGTCCCCCCCCCCCCCCCCCCTCTCTTCTGCACAAGCAGATTTAATACACTTTGAGGGGCAAACAATGGGAGATTGGGGCCTGATGGGATCACTGATGAGCTGATAACTGTCAAAAGAGCACGTCGTCTTTACGTGAGCCTGATTATCTCTGTGTGGCAGAGGAAAGGCAGGGGTAGACGGTGGAGGAAAGGGTAACTGGCAGGCGATTCACCCCATGCAGTGTCTCTCCAAAGGGGAGAGAGACGCGCACACGAGGGCCCATCCGTTAAGCCGGGCACTCTCTCATCCAGTAGGGGCCTTAAACAAGTCCATTCAGGTGACTGGAGGTTCATATACATGTATATTTAATGACGGGGATTAGGTAAAAGTGTAAGGAGTGTGAAGAAGAACACACGGGGCAGGGGAGAAGAAGGGTGAGTGGGTCGTGTGTGTGTGAAGAGAGGGAGAGCGATAAGGAAATAGCAGTGGGACGGACAAATCGCAGACAAATCGCAGACAAATCGCAGACAAATCGCAGACAAAACGCAGACAAAACGCAGACAAATCGCAGAAAAATCACAGACAAATCACTGACAAAACAAAGAAATCACAGAGAAAACACAGACAAAACTAAAAAAACACAACTTTAAGTTCAGTTACACTGTACTTTTGGGTTTGCTGACCTGCTTTCACTCCTTTTATAAAAAGAATGTTTTGGACCAACTGTGTAGTTGATTTCGCAGCAATTTCTTGGCATTTTCCAGTCCTATAATGCTTAAGTTTTTTTTTTTTTTCTTTTTTTCATTGTTATACTGTTTGGATACTTTGAGGATCATTCTGGCTGGGATGAAGTGTTCGAAAAAGTGAAATTAATTCAAGAGGAAAGGCAGCTGATATCCTCCTCTGTAGCACTGATGGCAGTCTGTCAGAGTTGGCAGAGGAACTAAAAATGGCCTCAAGTGTCTAGCTCCCCTTCCATGCTGTTCTCACATCAATGACAGTTCTTGGTGCAGCATCTCTCACTCTCTCATTTGCTCTCTCCAGACTCAAGTTTGCTTTTTCCGTCTCTTGTTTATTGACTCTGACTCCCCTTCTGCAAACAGATGTGTGGGAGAGTGGCTAGAACAATGTGTGAATGAATTATGATAGACAGACTTTAGAGTTGAAGGAGTGAGAGGAGGGAGAGAGAGGGGGGAGGGGAGGGGGGGGGCACTGCAGTGCCTGAAAACACAAACACAAGTCCCAGCTGCAGACTTGCTTTTCTCCGAAAACCACTTCACACACACAAAGACAAATAAGGTGTAATTTGCACGGTATGAAATTTTGGAAATTATGTGAGGAGACTGTAACCTCCGTTTATGTCAGTGAGGAAATACTAATATGATACAACCATCTTCTTTTTTTTTTTAAGCTTCTCTTTATACAAGGAAACTATTTCAAATCTCACTGACAATTACGCTAAGTGTTACTTGTTAAACAAAAGCCATAATTGTTGGTTTCACTGATGTTGCATTTTCAAAATGGAAGTTTCTGTGCCAGCCTATGGGGAACTTACAGCGCCCCCTCACAGCTACGGCACGCGTGACCTCACCGCTGCGTTACAGTGGTCGGTGGAAGCTGAAGACAGTTTCATGAAACTCAACCGGCGTCTGTCCAACGCGGCAGATCTGGCGATCCCTGACTTCTCTGTGCCGTTTTTTTTTGGAAGTAAATGGTGTGGTGTTTCAGAAATTTGAGATTTCGAGAAAAATATCCTACGTTCGCGCATGAGGGCATCAACATAGCAGGCAGCATGGGGGAAGGAGAGCCGCATGTCAAGGTCAGGCAAGACCTACGGAATACGCCGTTGCTGACAGATGCTGACGTAACACTCCACTCCGCAGAAAGCAGACACCCACTGTGTAATGACGCGTAGCGGGTGTGGCACAACTATTACAAAAAATGTGGCAATGAACCATCTGCTAGCGGTACCGACAACACACACTGTTGTAGCATATATCAACTAGGCAGTTGAGTTGATATAGACACACCTCACACGGCGGAGTGAGACCTCCTGAAGGTGGTGAGAACCAAGGTGGACGGACGGACCTTATAAGGGGTATACTTGTTCACTCCAGTCCATTGTTTCCCAAAGACTGGGTCGCGACCCTCAGGTGGGTCGCAAGAGATTTGTCTCACATCATGTTTCCCAGAAGTTTACGATTAATGTCTATTGACGTGGGTCGCGAAGGTTTGTGTCTTATAAAATATGGGTCCCCAGAAAAAAAAAGTTTAGGAAACACTGTTGGAGTCAGTGTGTTGCTAGTCAAAATACAATAGTCTACAGGTCAAAGGTCTTTATTTTTATTTTAAATTTTTTCTAATAATCATTTGATATCTTTTAAGCAATCCGTATAATCACCGCATTTTCCGCTTAGAAACTTCAAGATGAGAAATCCATATCCATACGACCAACCGAATCCATCGACTACTGTCTGACAACATACAGCAGTAACCCATAACACCTCAGAAGGAATGACATATCAATTTAGTATTTGTCCAATTTTCCCCCGTAACGCCTAGCAAAAACATGGATGGGTTGTATTCCTTGTACGCGCTCTCTTTGGAACCGTATTATTGTACCAACTGCCTTTGATGGCTCCAGCCGATGACTACGAATCCGACCAAGAAGATCAGCTTTAAACAAGTGTTGAATTGTAAGTGAAATGTACGTGAAAATCTTAGTGCCTCATGATTACCAAGTAGTGAAATGATTGTATCATAAAAGCGAAGCTTCAAGGATGGAAAACTACCGAGAGTTTGAGTGACAGAGAGTGGGAAATGCACTGGGTGAGTCAGATCCCGAGAAGAAGGACAAGGCCATCCAATCAGAAGAGGACAACGTTTCAGGGAAAGACAGTTGGTCAGACTTCGTGAACTGACGTCCTATGCTGTTGATCAGGGACACGTGGATCTGACCCAGGATCTGTGTTTAAAGTTAGGAAGACATACATGATCACCACCTACTGGTGATGCGTTCGTTTTTAATAGTTTTTTGTTTGTTTGTTTGCTGTTTTGTTTTTAGCTAGACTGTTGTTGTTAGGTTCATGTTTGTGTTTGTGTTGATGCGACTTTGAAGATGAGTTTTTGTCAAATTTTTTGATTTAAAATAATTATAATTAGTTAAATATTAGTAAAATATTGAATATTCAGTGATTTGTTTTAATCAATTCCTAGATATTTCAGGCAAACCCCATTTTAAATTCCAGGCGACCTGATAAGGGGTCATGACCCCAAGTTTGTCAAACTCAAGTTTGTAAAACTTAAATAAAAATGTAAGCAATTTTTTTTGTTGACTGTTTTCCTTCTCAGCTGCTGTTTACGAGGCGAGACACTGTTTACTTCCTGTTCACCCATACTGACCTTTTCACGCGCCATCCATGAACCTGTAAACGTCGAGGATTACGCAAACCCCACACTGGCTGCTGGCCTTTCCTGCTCTCTGATCCATATTTCAGAAGCAGCAGTGGCGGCACCGTGGGGTTATAATCTGACATTAAAGCGAAGGAAGGCCAAACACCGGGTGCACAGATGTTACATCATCAGATCCTAAAAAAAATATATATATATATATATTTACATTTTAATTTCTGCAATATTTGCAGCAGCTTCCTACATATAAAATTAAATTATTTTTATATATTTATGTATTTTATTTTTCTATCAGTAATGTCTTCATAACAAAAATTGATATTATTAACAATAAAATTATATTTATTTTTTCTGATATGTGTTTTAAAAAAAAAAAACATCTACAAATCCCGCTGTTTCCAAACTTTCTGTATCAAATTTGAACAATTATGTACAATTTCCAGTCAGGCATAATTCTCCTATAGTAAGTGACTATAATAACATTTATTTAGTTCGCAAAAAATATATTCTTTAAGGACGAAATAATATACTGTATTTACAATTTTAAAAGTTTCCATTGACAACAGGAAAAGGCCAGGAAAACGAAAGAAAAGAAAAACCACAAAGGAAGAATAAATCTCTGACAAAATCTCCAAAAAACAAACAAAACAAAAAAAACCAAAACAATCTCTTTCGCAAGTAGAAGCTAGTTATACTATGACAGGTGACCCGTGAGCAACATAACTTTTATCAAACTGTTCTTTCATTAAATTAAACGTTCTTAAAATCTCTTCTCTCTCTCATTTTTTCCCGCTGTTTGTCTTCTCATAACGTTGTCGTCAAAGCTCGTTGTGTTGTTGTCCCGTGGTGAGGTCTGGAGGGAGAGAGGAGACGGTGGAAATGAGCAATTTAAAACACATTTTTCTAAATTAATTTATAAAAAAATCACTTTTCGTCTAAAAGACAGTAAGACTTTAACTATTAAAATTATATTCATTTTTGTTTTTGTTTTTCCAGCGTCGACGTCACTATTTTGACAGACGTCAGAGGCTTCACACATT